AAATGCAATAAAATGTTATTTAAATAATTTGCTTCTGTCAAAAATGAGTAACAAAATAAAAACCCTATTGATTTCTTAAAACAATTTCTTGATTTGAAAATACTTTTATATATAAGACATTACGTCAATCAAATTATCAGTGTACATATACTTGTCTAATCGGCAGAAAATTCACATATATATGGAAAAATGGCTTCACATGGAAGATCTGCCCAATTAAAATCGACATCCTCCAATGCTGCTAAACATAATTCTGTAAACTGGTTGTTAGGTTCACCAACACCAGTACCATCAAATGGCATATCTTGACCTGGATTACTTATCCACTCAAGGTCGAAATCATTGTTAAAATTGTAACCACCAAGCCAGTACCCTAATGCTAAAACATACAAAGAAAATACTCTGATTAGTATTGACGATGATGTCTGCCTGCTCAATGGTTAAAGCGTTCAGTAGTTAATGTTAAATGCATATGAGGATGGTTTCATGTAAATGTAATATGACTACGAACCCATTCTTTGTTCTTTACCGACACACTAGCCAAATATTCATAAATAAGTTTACAAAAGAGAGGGAAAAGATACTAGAGGGACATTCAAACTCATAAGTCGAAAATCAACTGACAACGCCATGGCTAAAAAAGAAAAAAAAAACAACAGAAAAACAATAGTAGACAACACACAACATAGAAAACTAAAGACTGAGCAACACGAACCCCAACAAAAACTGGGGATGATCTCAGGTGTTTCGGGAGGGTAAGCAGATCCTGCTCCACATGTGGCACCCGTCGTGTTGCTCATGTTAGTACAAACCCGGTAATAAGTCTAATTCTGTTGGTCACAGACAAGATACTAGTCCGCAGGATGAGAGTATAGACAAATAAATCTGACTCTGAGTCCGTCAGCATTTGCTCCTACCCGTATGCTCCGCATGATGAGTGGAAAAACAATAAATGCGAATTTTAAAGTCTTTGGTTAGAACAGGACCCCGATTTGAGAGGACAAGCTACAAAGAGACCACCGAGGAGGTCGTTGATTAATTATTGTACACTACTATTTACAAGCAGTATACAAACACCCTTTGAATCTTCATTTTCACCGAGAACAATATCATACTTTTCAAACTTTTATCTCAAGATAAGAATGATCGAATGATTTGAAATTGACTGAAAGACTTTCTGCATGGTGTAGCTGTAGACTGGTTCTCTCCCTTGCAACATACGGGTATCTCAATTACCTTTGTTATTAGAGCGAAACAGTAACAATACTAGGAACAAGTATAGTTACTGTGGATTTATTTATTTTCGTGGGTACCAACTTTTGTGAATTGAAAAAAAACAATGTATTATCATGGATATTTGAATTCGCAGTTTTGACAAAGTCTACATTTAAGCCTATAGAAAATTTGCAATTCGTTGAACATTTAAATTCATTGTTCAACTTTACCCACTAAATGAACGACAGGGGCGGATCCAGCCATTTTTAAAAGGGGGGATAAAAAGGGGGGTCCTACTATATGTCCCTATTCAAATACATTGATCGTAAACAAAAGGGGGGTTCCAATTTTTGGCAGTTTGTTTCCAGAAATATTTCTCTAATTTAATATTTGCCGTAACCATCATCATAGTTTATATTCTGGTAGTCGAGCTCCATTACCGTGCACATACTTCACACCATTTTTTCCCGCTAAATCCAGGGTCGGCTTAAATAATCACCGAGTTACGGATTTTTATTTCTGTGCTCGGAAATGCTTCCGATTATATAACTATGAGCATGTAGCAGCTGCTATATTTTTGAAGGTAACTAACAATACCAGAACCAAAAAATGATTTGTTTTCGCTTAACACTTGTGAACAATTTTGGATGGACTGAATAAACGTCAACATCCTACTACTATTGACGTATATCGAAATAAAGACGTTACATATTTAAAATAACCAGTGTGGCTTTCAACACAACTTATTTGGGTATATTTTATACAACACAAACGATGTGCCTGTACCTAAAAATAAGTTAAATTTTCTATTTACCATGGGCCATAGTATTGGCCCCTTTGGAGGTTTTGGTAAATCATAAAGACCAAAATATTGGCGCTATGACACATAACCGGTTAAATTCTTATGAAGGTGTACTAACCGACATTCTTGTATAGGTACACGAGAAATCATAAAGGCCAAAATATTGTTCCTATGAAAAATAACATGATAAATCCGTATGGAGGTGTACTAATTGAATTCCTATCTATGTACACGAGAAAGTCATGAGTATTTTGTTTTGTGGAACTAAAGTTGTGAATTAACTTCTAATAAATACAAGTACTCTTTGGTGTGTACTTCTTGACTTAATTCCAGAAAATGACCAGAGTATATGTAACCATTAATAATATTTTGAATAGCCGAAACGGAAATCCGTTTTTCGATTAAAATAAAAGTAGGAAAAATACCGCCAAAGGCAAGTAATGTGATTGTGTAATGAATTACTATATTTATGTTGGCAGTGTAAATATTTGGATCATTTGTTTTCATATACTAAGTAACATATTGTTTCGGGGCCATTTGGAAGTTACAAAAGAGCTATTGATAACAATTATATGTTTCATAACGAGTAAATGAATTGAATATCGCTTGATATCAACTAGAGTTATTCATGTTATTTGATTTCGATAAAATAATAAACAAGACTTTGGCGAAATATTCACGTCTATTTGATTTAAATAATGAGAGCGATATTTCTCTTATGGAAATCATTCATTTTTGTTAAGTAGAATATTCCACGACATTTCAAGGCGTTAAGTGTAAGCGTTTTGTTTTTTATAGAAGACACAACATGTGCGGATAGACTGTTGACTTTGTAACAGGCCACCTAAGGCAATGCAATAGTTAATGAACATACAGAAGCATGTTACTTTCCGTACGAGAGGCATCAGATTAAACGACCTGAATCCGGTCTATCGGATAGACTGCGTATTTTTACAAACGGGCAAACGGAACTCACTTCAACAAACCCTTGGTGCTTAACTATCGTATGTGAAAAGTTCAATGGTCACCAAAGAGTAAGAGCAGAGTTGATGCTTTGTGTTCCAAGATTTAAAATTGAGCTTATACTCTGGCACACTTTTATCATTAAAGGTTAAACGACATCCTTAAGTTACCAATATTCTGTAAATATAATGATATGTTGTATGCATGGTGACCAATGCAATGGTCTTTTCAGAAGAGACAAAATGAAGTGATGTAAGCAAACATAGGTCACTGTACAACCGTTAAGAATGAGAAAAACCCATACCGGGTTTAATAAGCTATTGACTGAACAAACCAACACAACATGTAAACAATTTGAATCAGAAAGTCAACGAAATAAAATTAACAAATAGAACAAACGGCAACCGACGACAACCACTGAATTATAGACTTCTGACTTTGGACAGGAAAATATGTAGTGTGGCGGGATTAATGAGATTGCCAGTGTTCAACCATCCCTTAGCTGTATAACGTAGAACAATAGTGTCACAACACTACACAAGAACAAATTTTAAAAATCATTTGGAAAGAGCTTGACTCATCCGATTGACACGACGCAAATCTGATTGATATACAGATTTTGTGTCAAAGCTCTAACAGCACTATGGTCTACTTTATGCTCTAGCAATTATTGCATATCTATATCGATTTATGAGTTTTCGAACAGCGGTATACTACTGTTGCCTTTATTTATACGTCAATGAAATTCTTGCCTCTAAATTGTTTTAAATATGTGTATCATTACTACAAAACCAGATGATCCCGAAAGGATATTAAAACAGAAAGTTAAACGGGGCCTTGTAAGCGAGGCGTGGACACATAATTTGTGTTTCAATTTTGTTGGACACGAAGCATAAACTACTTCGTTTAACTGCTGCTGATAGCTTGCTGTCATTGACGCATATCTCATATCTAATTTAATTGTTTACTTATCTGACTAACTAAATATTAAGTTTCCTAATGAGAAATGAAAGTGTTTACAGTTTTTTTTTTCGTAATAACACTTATTCTACAATTTTTTTTTATGACGTTAAACTTTTGAAAAAAATCTTCCGTCATGATATGTTAAAAAATAACTTTAAAACTCTAAATTAAAAAATGACCAGTCGTCATCTATTTACATTTATTGAAAAAGCGTATCGAATAACGCAAAATTAAGTTTGCATCAGATTAGTTCTGAATTTTAGCGTTACCTTAGAGTACCTCAAAATGTAAGTTAAACGTGAACACTTGTGATGGTTCAGACAAGCCGTTTGTGTTTGATTATACCTAGGTAAATTTGAAACAGTGCTCGATGCTGGGTATTCATGTGTGTTTTGAAAAAGCGTGAATTTTTTTCTTACATTTATTCCGCTTGCCCTATATGTTTACTGCTCCGACTAGAACCATTCGAAAAGTACTCCTTAGTAAAATAAATGTATTTTCACGAAAATGTTTGAACGTGCATGGTTTTTCTCTGATACTTTCTTAAAAACTAATTAGGAGGAATAGATGTTTATAAAATGAATTGTTTTATTCTAAATCAAATATGACTGTAATAATGTTTTTTCAGCCAATGCAAATCTTGCCCTCAAGTTTTTTTTCAAATATGTATATCATTACCACTAAACCAGAGGATCCCGAAAGGATAATAAAACAGAAAGTTAAACGGAACCTCTGTAAACGAGGCGTGGACACATGATTTGTGTTTCAATTTGGTCGTACATGAAGCATACATTATCTCGTTTAACTGTTGCTGATAGCTTGCTGTCATTGACGCATATCTACTTATCTGATTAACTATAATTATAAGTTTCCTAATGGGAAATGAAAGTGTTTACAGTTGTTTTATTTCGTTTGAAAACTTATTTTACAATTTTATCATGTTTATATGACGTTAAACTTTATCTTACGAGTTGTTGCTTAAAATCTTATGTAGGTATGTGAAGATTGAGCGAAAACAATTTTGAAAAATCAGAAATGAAGAAATGAGAAACGGGTGTTAAGAAAATTAATTGTTTATTCTAAATCAAATATGTTTTTAATGATGTTTTTTTTCAGTGTTAGTTTTTGTCTATACCAGTAACAAAATAAAAACAGCATTTATTTCTTAAAACAATTTCTTGATAAGAAAATTCTTTTGATATAAGACATTACAATCAAAATATTATTGTACATAATACTTGATTAGTCGGCCGAAAATTCACATATATATGGACACATGGCTCCACAATGAAGATCTGCCCAATTAAAATTGATATCCTCCCATGCAGCTAAACACAATTCTGTAAACGGATTGTTAGGTTCACCAACACCAGTACCATCAAATAGCATATCTTGACCTGGATTACTGATCCACTCAAGGTCGAAATCATTGTTAAAGTTGTAACCACCAAGCCAGTACCCTAATGCTGAAACATACAAAGAAAATACTCTGATTAGTATTGACGATGATGTCTGCCTGCTTAATAGTTAAAATGTCCAGTGGTAAATGTTAAATGCATATGAGAATGCTTTCATGTAACTGTGATATGACTATGTACCCATTCTTTGCTCTTTACCGACACACTACCCGGATATTCATGAATTAGTTTACAAAAGAGAGGGGAAAGATATCAGAGGGACATTCAAACTCATTGGTCGAAAACAAATTAAGAAAGCCATGGTTAAAAAAGAAAAAGACAAACAGACAAACAGTAGTACACAACATACAACATAGAAAAGACTGAGCAACACGAACCCCACCAAAAACTGGGGGTAATCTCATTTGTTCCAGGAGGGTACGCAGATCCTACTCAACATGTGGCACCCGTAGTGTTGCTCATGTAGGTACAAACCCGGTAATAAGTCTAATTCTGTTGGTCATATACGAGATACTAGTCCGCAGGATGACAGTATAGACAAATAAATCTGACTCTGAATCCGTCAGCATTTATTCCTACCCATATGTTCCGCATGTAGAGTGGAAAAATAATAAATGCGAATTTTCAAGTATTTGGTTAGATCCGGGCCCCGACTGGAGACAACAAGCTACAAACAGACCACCGATAAGGTCAATGATTGATGATTGCTCATCGCTATTAATAAGTATTATACTAACATCCTTTGGATTTTCTTTTTAACCGAGAACAATGTTATACTTTTCAAAAATTAATTCTGAGATAGGAATGAACGAATGATATGAAATTGATTGTAATACTTTCTGCATGGTAAAGCTATAGACTGATTCTCTCCCTTGCAACATATGGGTATCTCAATTATCTGTGTTATTAGAGCAAAACAGTTACAAAACAACGAACAAGTATAGTTTCTGTATATTTATTTATTTTCGTGGGTACCAGTTTGTGTGAATTGAAAAAAAGTATGCACGAACATTATTGGTACCCCACGAATAAAAATGAATTCATAGTAGTACATGTATTATAGAGCTGTCACTAATCTATGTTCATGGTTCAATAAACTGTTCACTTTAAACATTATAGACGTCAATTTTGCTATCACTGATGTTTCTGTTTGATATTGTTGGCTTGTAATTTTCTATATTCTAATAACCACGATCAGGATCCCCATGAAATGCATACACATGTAACGAGGTCTATATAATTTGGAATCAAAATTTTAGACAGGTCCCGTTACTGAACTCCTAATTTTACAGAACATTGGTGTAAGAATGCTAGTTTAGTTCAAACAAACTTATAATCATCTACAGTCGAGAAATTGACTTGGATAAAAAAATATGGTTATGTGTGGGTAAAAAGAAATGCGCTGTTTGGCTGTATGGAATGATACATATATTCACAAGAAATATTTGTCGGAATATGGATGCAAAATCAGATGTATCTTTTAGAAAAAATGCCAAGCCTTCTTTTTGCAGGACTATCTACACTGGCAACAACCGAGAGGTTTGTTGGTGATATGTTGCATTGTCATTGACGGTACAAATTTTAACTGCTACGGAATCGCGTTTAGACTAATGATGTATCTAGTAATACACGAGGTAAAAATGTTTGACATTTCGAAAACGTACAACAAACGTTAAAGAATCACGTGACATTTTTGCTAAAATTAAACTCCGTCGAAATGCTTTCTTCACTCTGGTCAACTAGCTTTGAAGAACCTCACTTTGATTTATTATTAATTTGGTCTCGTCCTGAATATGCATGACACATTCATTCGTGACTGCACGTTATGTAAAGAACATTCAAGTCAACCATACAAAGAAATAGACGTCACAAATTTTGTAATGCAAAATTAATCAAATTTCGATATACGTAAAGCAAACAACATTTATCAGTCTATCAAATATATTAAAATATGAACAATACGTCATTAAGCATGACTACAAAAGGATTGATTTATATAGCATTATATTGAAGACAGCTTGAACGAATGGTCCACAAATCGCATACCCTCACATTCGCAGATCAAATTAACTTTGTTTTATTTGTGTATGTGCTGCTTAGTCTTTCAATTTCTGTAAACGCGTTTTCGGCAATTATATGTTGAGGCTTTTTTGACATGTGGTCTTTGATTGATTTTGTTTTCAATAGATATTGTAAAATATCAGCGTCTCTACACATTATTAAATCTTTTTGAGTTCGTGCGCTGTATTCTCTCCAATACAAAAAAAAAGAGCAACTTAAACCTTACAGTTGATTTTGTACTAATTAAAATATTGATAAACAGAAATACCTATTACAAATGTTTTTTTTTCTCCTTCTAGCCATACAGAAAATCATAGATAATCGACCACCCCTCTCCCCCATTGTACCCGATTTGTTCACCTAGTTAAAAAGTATTTTGATGTCTTAGTACTGTTCATTCATTTTGCTGGATATTTTCAACATGAATGAAATAGTAAATGCAATATAATTATATAGTTCATCCAAGATTGAAAACAACTAGCCTATTTTCATAGTATCGAGCTTTAACTCTGAAGTTTATATTTTTTTCGACAGGCTACCTCCTCTGCGGTCGGATATCCTGGTACTCGGTCAGATAAGAGCAACCTAAAGAAGTAAAATCAAGCTTACAATTGGTACATTCTGTGTATAAAATCAACTGACAATGATTTTCCATACGAAAAAATCATCAGAAAACAGTTACCTTTCCTCCAAATTTTATCGTTTAATATATGTTTGATTTTACTTCTTTTGGTCGCTCTTACCTGACCGAGTATCAGGGTGTCCTACCACAAAGTAGGTAGCTTGTCGCATGTTTTTGAAATCCGGAGTCAAAAGACGGTAATATGAAAATAGTCTATTTAAACACACAACCAAAGAATTATTTATTAATTATAAAAGTCTTTTCACTTACCTCCTGTGTTTCTGGTCTTTAATTCAGCAAGGATAAAGTCATTCTCTTTCTTAGTTTCTATTTCAATCAATTTACCACCTTGACATTTACATTCGTCCTATAAGCATGATAAGATAAATAGAGTACTCCTATGTCTGATTATATTTGACAAGAAGAACAATTGAATAATAAAGAACTTTCTAGTATTATAATTTTGTCCCATATCCAATTTTCCTCTTTTGTGACCTATGACATGACCAAGATGAGAATAGTTACGGATTTTTGCCGACACGATACATAAGACGCACATGTGGAGCCGGAACTGATTAAACTTAATTTGTTCTTTGAGTTAGTGTTTCTTAATCTTTAAAGGCAGTGGCTATTCGTCCGGCTAGCCGGACGAATAGAAAATAATGTCTATTCGTCCGGCCATCCGGAAGAATAGCTTTTCTCTGCTATTATGCTATTAATCCGCCCATTCATGACCAAGAATAATGAATATGCGTTGGGTAAGTGGTTATTGTTACTGATTATAAACTCAAGATAAAACATTATGGAAAATAGTAATAATGAAAAGAAAAATAATAAAGAATTATCATGGGAAAAAACTCCTCAAGGACCAACTTTGATTGAGTTTTCTACTGACTGGTCTATGGAACACGCTGATTCCCCGTTAATATAAAAAGCTTGTCAAATGCCGAGACCAAAAGAATATCAATATCGATTGATATGCAACAAATACACTTCTGAATTAAAGTCACTGTACTATTAATTGTACAAAAACGTTTCCATTCACTAAAACAAATAAAAATGCAAATACATTTTCTTCATAGTGATTTATTTTTCATTTTAGAGCCACCTCATGGGGTTTTTGATTATGTGATTACTTGGCCGTTTTTATAGTGATTATTTGATTACCAGACCGAATATTTCATGATTATTTGATTATTTGATCATGTAGGACTGTATTTTTAATTATTTGAATATCTTGTTTGAAAAAATAATTAATGATTATATGATTATATTGGCAAATCATTTGTGATTATATGATTACTTGGACACCCCCACGAGGGGCCCCATTTTAAGGAGAAAAGGGGGCAACAATGCCTCTCTTCTTTTAATATTATACCAATGAATTTCCTGCAAGGTTAGGAGTCCACTGATTTATGGTTTCGATGGGCATGTATGATTCCTAGAGAAGATCCTGAATTTATCATTTTCCTTGAAGTTTGAAGAAATAAGAGAAAGGGGTAGACACATGTTAAGTTGTCCCCAAAGAAAGGCTGTGTTTATGATAGTAAAAAATGTTTATTGAGAAAAGAAATGAAACATAATGAATACAAAGGGGGATTAAACCCCAACCCAGGTATACTATTCCCAGTCCAGGCATTTCGTAGAATGTTCATATATCTCCGTTGTAGTAGAACTTAGAAATAATGCATCCAAGTATTTAGTAGAGTTCCTGTGAATTGTTTTTTATATTCGTATTGCCTCCATTGATACAGGTAAAGGTACTGACGGAGGTAAACCAGCAATTTCAGAAAATGCGTTTGATTTCACGCTATAAATTCCTCTCAGTTTACGTGCACACGCTATTGTTCTGGAATCTGTCCTATAGAAGTTTGTTTCTAAAGCAATCACATTCTCTCTAACTTTCTTTAGGACGTCATAAGATATACTATGATATATTCCAATCATCATATTCTCAAAACGTCCATTGCATACGCACGTTTGCAATCCGACACCTCATCCGGGTCAATTTCCGCATCACATGACGCTGTTGTTGATATTGAATATTTACGCATGCTCAAACGGATGGCCGGACAAATAGAGAACGGATGTGTAATGTTTGTAATGTTGTTGTTTGTCTTTTCATCGTTTTTTTTTATTTGTCATGGAGTTATCTAATTGATTGCCCAATTGGGTCGTGCGAAAACAAATGTCTGAAGGATACCAGAAAAATACCCCCTTCTCAGTAAAACATAACAAAGGCTCCATTTTGAAACTTGGAAACACAAAACAGTAATGTTAAGAAATTCTGTAAAAAATATAGTTGTAACATTGTGTAGTGTAAATCGTTTTATATATACATAAACGTTGGGAGAAAAATAAAAGCAGTTTCTATTAAACGGAAAAGATTAAACAAAAAGGCATTACTTTTTAAATTGTTTTGCCAGGTAAAACATATTTATTTATCATATGCACGAAATACAAAATATTGTGAGATGAAGATGAAGAGAAATCTATATGATTTTAAATTGATTTTTTTAGAACTAATATCAACATATAAACAGGGTTTTGGATTTGGTTTGGATTGGGGAGGGGGGTCCTTCATTTCTGATTTTTTTAAATTGTTTTCGCTCAATCTTCACATACCTTTAAATTATAAACAAGAACTCGTTAGATTCTGCAACGATGAATTACACGAATTGAACTTTATTTTTTTATGAATTCCCGAGTCTTCAGAAAAAATGAGTGTTAATTTCGTGCGAAAAACTTATTAATATTTTTTTTTTAATTTAAAGGCGAATTTGAGAGCTTTATAAATAAGAAGATGTGTTATGATTACCAATGACACAATTATCCACCATACAAAATAAATAACTAGAAGTTAACTTTATATGAACTGTCATTTTTGCGAAAATGTTTCCACTATCATTCTCATGAAATTATATTTAGGTGAAATTACGTATTGTGTAAGTACACTGCATCTACATAGAGCAACTTACCACAGCTTCTTGCCAATTTTTCTCGTTATCAATTATTTTATATAGAGATCTGTCGAAAACTAAACAGTTTGTGCATGTTGATGATGCTGAAAAAACGACATGTAGGGATGTTTTTTTTAATCGTACTAGGAGATAAAGGTAAAATTCACATGTACATGGATTAAAATTTTGTACGCCAAAAGCACGATTCTTCTACAAAAAAACATTCATCAGTGACATTCAAATCAAATGTATTAAAAAAGGTCAAATAAAGTTCGAAATGAGTAAACCAAAATTCAGAAAGGTATTGCCAAATACAGCTAAGGTAATATCATTATATAATTCATTGAAGATTCCTAGGCTAGAAAATTTTAAGTTTTTCGAAAAATTTAAAGTTTTAAAAAGCTGCATATTGTGCGCGACACTATGTGAAGCCTTTTAAAACTGGTTCACTGCGCTCGCTCAACAAAAAGCTTCATATATATTGACTCGCAGCTGATTTTTACAATTATATCAATACGCGGACAACATGTTAATCGGTACATACAATTACTACCCATCGCTGGTAAATAATTAACTCATCATAATTTGTCTGAAGTCAATCTTTTCTGTAGAAAGAATGGTGATACGAAATTTTTATTGTTATTTGAGTTTTGTTAGGTCGAACATCTTGACGACCCGGCTATGTTTCGTTCTTTATAAGGTTTTTTGTGAATTTTAAGAGGTATCTAGTATAAAGATAGGATTTTTTTTTATGTTGATACAAAAACAGGGAAGAACGTATTCGTGATAATATCTCCACCATCGTGAATGTTAATCAGGTAAATGTGGTTTTTCCAGTTTTGCATGTATATTCACCAAAAGTCTGTAGTGGGAATGTAATTTATAAAAAATCTCTTAATATTCGGGGTGTAAACAAAGGCATACACCACTGTCCCAGGTTAGGGGGAATGTTTGGTGGCAGCAAATATTACACGAGCCTGTTATTAAGTGGTTTTCATTTGTGTCTGTATCATATTCATTTTTGCATCTATTGTTTTGTGCATAAATCGGGCTGTTAGTTGTCCCATTTGAATTATTTTATATATTTTTTATTTCGGGGTCTTTTATAGCTTACTACCGGTATGCGGTATGTGTTTGGCTCAATTTTAAAGGCTGTAGACCTTTAGATGTTCACTTCCACATCATGTGCTCTCTGTTTGAGAGTCTCATTTGCAATCATACCACAGTCACGACAGTACATCTACTATTGTTTATATGTAAAAGCTAATACATAAAAAAATTATGCCGTGGATTTTGTTAAACTTACCATTTGCCGTTTGTTTCTTGATTGTTCTCCACCCAATTTCGATAAGTGTATCAATGCAACAAGATCCAGACTGATCAAGAACACATGTTGAGGTGTCATCGGAATAACTTGCTACACAACACTGATCTAATGAGGCGCATCGTCTTACACAATCTGTTACAATTTCAGAATAAACCTCTATAGTGTCTTTACCAATCATAATTCTGGTGTATTCCTGCGTGCCAAACATAGCTCCCGTAAAGCTTGAGGCAATTACATGTACAATGTTGAAATGTAATGTAATTGTGAAAAAGGTACTTGCAATTGTAACACCGAACCAATTATAACATGTAGTATCCATTGCTGTAGGGAATTTTGAAAATCAGAAAATGCGGAGCTTGAAATATAAGAGTAAGATGTTTAGATTGAACAATTTGACGGGTCCTCTAACTAAGTAAAAATACCATAAAATGAATTATCTTATATGTATACATGACAAAAGGCAAATGCCTTTTATATCAATTTAAAATTTAATATCGACGATGTTTTTAACAAGCACAGATGTTTATACCAAATGTTATTACAGAATAGAACATAATATTTACCCTATAGATCAATGGATTGATTGCGATCACGACAATTTAAATTCGCCGTTTTAGAAATTAATGCATTCTCAGTTATATAAAAAGATAACCCCAACACAAACGCTTTGATTGGCTTACACCGGCACAAACAATCGAAATTCAACCAATGACGTGACGTGACGGTTTTGGATATCTCAGTAGCTGCAAGTCTTCTTGGGGTACAGTCTTGACAATGCACATGTAATCAATAGCAAACAAAATTAACTAAAAAAACTGTTTCTCGACCTTATGTATTTATGAGGGTCTAGATAGGGGTCCTTCACGTCTGTATTTTTAAATATTTGGGTCATTTTTTTTATATTCTTTATATTTTTGACCCATTTATCGCTATTTGTTACAAATTGATTTTTACATGGATACCAGTGAATTGTCAAATTTTTCCGATCGATATAGTTAATTATCGAATTTTAAAGTTTGAGCTTGATAATAATTTAACTATGGAGATTGCATAAATCCGATAATCCACGAGTAACTATGTAAGAATCTGTATCTCTAATGATTATCAAATACATTTTCATTTTTGATAGACCAAAGAGTAAAATTTCCTCAGAATTAGAAAAATTTAGGTACACCACTATTCTCTGCATTCTTAACTTTTTACTGTATTCTTTTATTTCTTTGTCCGTTTTTCTGTAGCATTGCTTGGTCTATTATTCGATATTCTGTTACCCCATTCAGACCATCATGTATAACACGATAGTCTCGGCAACATCAACGTTAACAAAATGTTCTAAAGACATTTAATGTTGTGTAGAACAATTAAAGAGACTTACATTTTTTTACTTTAATGACTTGTCTTTATTGGCAAGAGATCATACTATAAAATGATACAGGAAAAAATTGGGTCCTTGAACAGTGTTGAATAGAAAGAATAGAGACGGATTTATAAAAGTTTTTTCCAAACTTGTTTCCGAATCCCATATTTGAATTTAATGTAACATTGTAATACTTTATTGTTGTAATTTTTCGTTAATAAAAACTGTTTAAACTAAAACGAATAGAATTTAATTGGCAAATACATGATAAATAAAGAAAAGCGGTATAAATTAAAAAATTCAGAATTGAACGCCGCCCCTCGCCCTCCCCAAAACGAAGGTCCTAATTATAATATATCTATAATGATGAAAAAGATAATGTCAATAAATATTATCTAAAAACATTGTCGCATTTTTGCATCATTTTACATTTATGTCCATGCGCTAAATTAAGTAGAAAATAACCCTTAGTGTATTGATAAAATGAATACCAACATATCATTCAATGATTAAACCAGAATCGTAATTGATGAACTAATATTATAAAAGCTAATGAGTTAAAATCTATGACATGTAAACCAGTTAATAATACTGTAACAAGTACTTTACAGTTTTTAAAGTTCACCGATATTTTACTTATACATATGTATGGTTAAATGTCGGGTGTTGTTTGTTATCGACTACAAAAGTACATAATAATGAACGTCTGGATGAGGGTTATTAATTTCTTTATTCTTTATTCTTTATTCTTAATTTTTTTTATACCATTTTCCTCTATTCTTATCTAATTTGACCATTATTTTATATTCTTCATATATTGACACTCCATTATTCTGTATTGTTAAAAATCTGTTTTCTCTATTTTTCTCTATTTTTTTTTTGTCCTTTATTCTGGACTTTATATATAAAAAAGAAGATGTGGTATGATTGCCAATGAGACAACTCTCCACAAGAGACCAAATGACACAGAAATTAACTACTATAGGTCACCGTACGGCCTTCAACAATGAGCAAAGCCCATACCGCACAGTCAGCTATAAAAGGCCCCGAAATGACAATGTAAACAATTCTAACGAGAAAACTAACGGCCTGATTTTTGTACAAAAAATGAACGAAAAACAAATATGTAACACATAAACAAACGACAACCACTGGATTACAGGCTCCTGACTTGGGACAGGCACATACATACAGAATGTGGCGGGGTTAAACATGTTAGCGGGATCCCAACCCTCCTCCTAACCTGGAACAATGGTGTAACAGTACAACATAAGAACGAACTATAAAAATCAGTTGAAAGAGGCTTAACTCATCAGATGGATAAAAATACAAATACTACAAATACATTTGGATGGGCCGGGTACTTGTACATCCAAACAACAAAAAGACACTAAGTACAGATCTGAGAGTACTCACAGTTACTGACAGCTAGTTCAAAGCCACTAACAACTAATAAAAAAAATCAATGCATCTAAGACTAAATTATCAATCCGTATACATCCAACATCCAATGGATTTAGTGTAAAGACGTCATAAATAGTCAGAGAAAAACATGACCTTGTGCAATGCCAAGATACAGGTATCGACAGATTGTAGATCCATGAATGTGTATATGTATATAATATTTAGTTTGCTTTTAATTTAATGATAACAAAGTCAATATTAGTACCTATAAAAACAATATTTAATGATCTAATTACAGTGTTCAATTGGTAACCTTTTAGAATAAGTTTATTTAAAGGATCGATAAGTTTAGCAGGATCGTTGCTAAATTTCCTGGCACGGTAAACAATATTGCCGTAAAAATGAGGATGTGCAATCCCGTTTGAAATAAGTTTTTAGTAAAGGTTTTAAGTAATTTGTGGTAACGAAATCCATGGCTTAATAATTTACCAGTATTACACAGATTACGTTCGTTAAAATCAAAAACGTCACAACAGACACGGGCATAGCGAACGAGTTGTGAAATATAAACACCGTAAGATGGTGCCAAAGGAACATCACCATCCAAAAAAGGGAAGATTAACAATAGGGAACGAAAAATCGTCCCTTTTGTTGTAAATTTTAGTGTGGAGTTTCCCGTGTAAAACCGAAATATCTAAATCTAGGAAAGGACAGTTGTTACCGTTTAAATTTGATTTATTTAAAGTAAGTTCCTTTGGGGAAATTTCGGCAGTATATTGAGAAAATTCTTGATTATTTAACGAAAAAATATCATCAAGATAACGGTAAGTGTTGTTGAATTTATCAATTAAATACAATTTAGACGGGTCTTTACTGAGTTTGGTCATAAACTGTGATTCATAACAGTACAAAAACAAGTCTGCTATTAAAGGGGTGCAATTAGTGCCCATAGGAATATCTACAACCTGTCGATAAACTTTGCTGCCGAAACGTACATAAGTATCATCAAGGAGAAAATTAATAGCTTTAGTTCATTTAATAGATATAAGAAGTTGTTGTATGAGTGCCCATTCCGGCTTCCTCCACCATTAAAAACTGGCCGCCACGAAATAACCCAAAAGCGGTGCTTAAAAGTGGCGTTAAAACACCAAAAAATAAAAATCAAAATGTATGAGTGCGAATGAGACAACTCTCCATCCAGGTCACAATTTGTAAAAGAAAAACCATTATAGATCAAAGTACGGTCTTCAACACGGAGCCTTGGCTTACACCGAACAGCAAGCTATAAAGGGCCCCCAAAACGACTAGTGTAAAACCATTCAAACGGGAAAACCAATCTATATATACTCCGTATGCAGGAGCTGCTGGAATGTTGCTACATAGAAATGGAAAGTTCACAATTGGGAAGCTGAAATCATCTCCTTTTTCGTAAAGTTTTGTTTTCAACCGACCCTCATTATTAATTTCTAGATGTAAGTCAAAATATGAGAGAGACTTAGCTGAAACACTGCTTTATTTGAAACTAAAGGTAAATGTCAGTACAATAGCTAAGCAGAATAAAGTTTATTACTTATTACACATTCATCGATTGACTGTGGTAAATACATTTAAGATTTGTAATCTTCAGACTGCTTACATCCAACATTAAAATCATTGCTAAATAGCGAAACCCATGTGGCTGTGCAAGAAGTAGGCCGACTTTTATACCCTGATGCAAGACAATATTGGACAATATTGTGGCCCTGATCAACATTTCCCCGTTTTACATTGACAGTCGAAATTCCTTAAGTCATCCCAGTCAAACCACTTCGCAGAACATACCTATTGTTTCTTATTTTGTAATTGCAGAATATTCATGATATTCTATGTGTACAAAAGGAACATATGTGTACAAAAGAAATCTTCTTATTTTTATATATATTACATCATATGTATTTGTTACTTATCTTTTCAATGTAAATTTGGTGTATATGAAAATTAAGGAATAGGCCTGATAATTGCATTGTGGTAGGAAAGTAAAACAAAGTCAAAGTCTAATAACTCCCGTAAAAACGGTCGAATAGAACTTGCTATGCAATACGGACAAATAATAGCTTTTCTAAAAAGGTAGCCGTTTTCTACATGTAGCTTATTGTTGAACATTGTTTTTGTTTTTGTTTTTTTTTGCTTGTATTTTCATCCATTTATAATATTGCTCTGCATATAAATTGTAATGGGGATAAAAAAAGAGGAACTGAAGAAAGGTCAAGACAGTAATTTTAGAGTTACAATTTTCTTTTTGTGTTTGGTCATTTTTAACTCCTTGACAGAGCTTAGTTTCTAAAACACTTGCGTTTTTGACTGTTCTTATTTCTGTAATTTTTTTTACACATAAATTTTTCAGCAGACATGTCATATTTGTACTCTTTGTTTTTAAC